ACACAGAACAGGAATTTACTTGCTCTGTTAAACCCCTTGGATTTGGATAAAAGTCAATAAAAGGGATGAAATACTTTCAATGACTGTTTACGTGTATTTTTGTCTACAATTGGAATTATATATAAATATATGAAGAGTTCAGATGCAAAAACCTCTAGAAGCCGCCTGAAATCTCCATAGAAAATGAGCATTATTCTCAGCCTCCTTTGTTTGTGTTGAGTTGCTTCACTTTGAAGACCATAAAAATAACTTATTGTTTGCAATAAAGGTGAAATAACTGAACATACACACAAAAGCCTGATAAAAATGCTCATTTTAGAAGAAAATTTCAGACAGCATTTAAAGGTTAAGTTAAAAGGTAATGGTTACCCTGATGAAGGAAGACTCCTGCCGAAACGTGTAGGTTTTTAGAGATTTAGCCATGTGAATAAAGACTTTTTAATTTTTCACTATTTTCAAGTGCCTTGGACTGATTCTTGTTAGCATTTAAAGGTTTTTGCATCTGAACTCTTCATGTTTAAATATATAACCACATATACTCACCGGCCACATTATTAGGTACACCTGTCCAACTGCTCGTTAACAGAAATTTCTAATCAGCCAATCACATGTAAGCAGCTCAATGCATTTATGCATGCAGACATGGTCAGGACGATCTGTTGCAGTTCAAAGCGAGCATCAGAATGGGGAAGAAAGGGGATTTAAGAGACTTTGAACGTGGCATGGTTGTTGCTGCCAGACTGGTCTGAGTATTTACTGGGATTTCCACACATAACCATCTCTAGAGTTTACAGAGAATGGTCTGACAAAGAGGAAATATCCAGTGAGCGGCAGTTCTGTGGGTGCAAATGCCTTGTTGATGAGGTCAGAGGAGAATGGCCAGACTGGTTCCAGCTGATAGAAAGGCAACAGTAACTCAAATAAGCACTCGTTACAACCGAGCTCTGCAGAAGAGCATCTCTGAACACACAACACGTCCAACCTTGAGGCGGATGGGCTACAGCAGCAGAAGAGCACACCGGGTGCCGCTCCTGTCAGCTAAGAACAGGAAACTGAGGCTACAATTCACACAGACTCACCAAAACTGGACAATAGAAGATTGGAGAAACGTTGCTGCTCTGATGAGTCTCCATTTCTGCTGTCGGATTGTCGGGTTAGAATTTGGCCTCAACAACATGAAAGCATGGATCATCCTGCCTTGTATCAGCGGTTCAGGCTGGTGGTGGTGGTGTAATGGTGTGGGGGAGATTTTCTTTGGGTCCATTAGTACCAATTGAGCATCAACGCCACAGCCTACCTGAGTATTGCTGCTGACCATGTCCATCCCTTTATGAGCACAGTGTCTCCATCTTCTGATGGCTACTTCCAGCAGGATAACGCAGCATGTCATAAAGCTCAATCATCTCAGACTGGTTTCTTGAACATGACGATGAGTTCACTGTACTCAAATGGCCTCCACAGTCACCAGAGCTCAATTGAATAGAGCATCTTTAAGATGTGGTGAACAAATTTGACAAATCTCCAGCAACTGTGTGATGCTATCATGTCAATATGGAGCAAAATCTCTAAGGAATATTTCCAGTAGCTTGTTGAATTTCTGCCATCAATAAGTAAGGCAGTTGTGAAGGCAAAAGGGGTTCAACCCAGTACTAGAAAGGTGTACCTAATAAAGTGGCCAGTTAGTGTATATAATTAATATTATTATACACAATTACAATGCTTGCAAAATGTATCTGTAAACGGCCATTTTATCAATATTATGAAAACATTTCTTTCAAAAATGAATTTGTATGTCATATATGTATTTTAAATGGGCGCAAACACATTTTTGTAAATAAATAATTGCACAAAACTAGATTTCAAACATGTAACCTGAGCGGTATATTTCTCAGAATAAATGAGAGTCTCTATTTTACCATAAAGGCAATCTAAAACTCCCGGCGGAGACCTCAGGCTCTTCTTACATTACCCAATGTTTTTCCCAAATCAATCCACAGTGCAGGCCCACATATGATATCATGCATGACTTCACCGGTCCAGGGAGTTCACCGTCCACGATAACAGCATTAGCATTTACTCCACATCTCTCATCTCTGGCTGAAAGAAATGAGATGGAGCTGAAGTTTGCTGGGTTTTGAAGAAGCGCTGGAAAGAAAGCACATTAAAGAGCGGCTCGCTTTGAGATTTCTGATGCTTTGATGCAATTTTACTTTGTTTTTTTTATCAATCCAGCGGCCTGAGAAGAAAGTCATTTGTCTGAGAGAGTCATTTTCACATGCTTGTTAGCTGAATCAAGCCGCTTTGCGATAATCTCTGTTAATTACTTCAGTGAGTGTTGGAGAGGAGAGAAGAAGACTCGTTCATCAGGAGAAATCTGCTTAAAGGGACAGCGCACTCCAATCTAGAATTGTGCCATCTTTTATCATGCGCTGTGGTGTTTTCCTTTGCTTTTTTAATGTGTAGTTTCATCATTCTTTATTAAAGTGTGTGTGAATCGGAT